TGCCTTCAATTCTCACGTCCAGAAAGGGTAAGCAGGGGTCCCAGGGGGGCTCAATAGAGTCAGAGATCTGGGGCCAAGATCTCCCCACTAAAGCCTCATTAGCGACAGCCAATTAGGGTTCCATGTAAGAGCCAAGACTGGTGCCCTGACAGCCCTGGCCTGGGGCCTGATCAGAGCAGGGAGTCTGGTAATTGCTTCCTTTAGTCCTTTTGTGAGAGGGATCTCCAAGGAACCAGTTAGAGGACTTTATCTCCTCCAGTAATGAGCCAGTTTGGACATCTTGCCACCACCTCAGATTCTGAGCCGAGGCACGGGAGTCTCAGACATACTGCCCATCTTTGGTCTTGGGGAAGCATCTGATTTCTTTGTGATAGGGACATGTGGAGATTTGAGGCTGCCTTGTGGTGAAGGAGGAGGTGAGAGATTTCTGTGGGGAGGTGAGTCTGAGGCAGGTTGTAGATTTTTGTAGGCAGTAAGATGTTTTGTGATTCAGAGATTCCAATGTGCAAAATTATTTGCGAGTATGTGGAGGAGGGCAATTTTTCTGAGGACTGTGTTCCCCTCCTTAAAGACATTTATGACCCAAAGGCACACTCTACTTCTGCATCCACTTCTGCTTGACTCACCGGCACCTGAAACTTCAATTGTTTTTTAACTGCCAAGGGCACTGGATACTCTCAAATCTCAGTCTCTAGCCACGATCCCTCCTCTGAGTCTAGATTTGTGTATCCAACTGCCTGTTGGAGATATTATTTTGTGGGTACCCCAAGGCCCTAAAAAAGCAGTAAGTCAAAGAAACCAAGTTTCCTTCTACAAGGTGTGTGTGGATAGCAAGGGTTCTTAACATCGGGTTCATGAAATTCCCCAAATTGTACGTACCCACAACTGTATACATAGTGCATGCATAAGACCAGAACCCATATTTACTCTGAGACTACAGTCTAACTTGTCTCAGATTGCCAAAGGGTTTGTAAATCAGAACATGTCACCCTCTGATTACCATTCTCCATGGCCTTCTAGTTTCTACATAGCCAAGCCCTTGCCTGCCTCTTCACCCTCATAGGCATCATCCTTTCCTTTTCTCACAACACTCCAGTCACTGGCCTTCCTCTGCTGTTATGCCAACCAAGCTTATTTCTGCCTCAGGGCCTTTGCCCTTGCTGTTCTCTCTACCTGGAATGCTCTGTCCCCAATCTTCACTCAGCTGGATCCTCTTCATCTTCAGGAACTGACACACGTGTCATATTCTCTGCACCCTGTTTTAAAATAACCCACCTGCCTATTACATTCTATCATATATCAAGTAGCCGCTCTCTGAAAACTTAGGACTGATCAACTATGAATTTGCTTGTTGATGTTCTGTCTCCCCAAGTGCAATATACATTCCTTGAGAGGGGGAGCATTATATACCGGTTTCTCCAAAGAACTCCAGTGTCCAGCACAGTTTCTAATATTTTTTCAGCAGGTTCTCAATAAATGCACATTGAGTGAATGAACAGCTAAGTGCCATGGTCTATAGAAGCTGAAGCATGAATGGAAGGTGCTGGGGTGTCAGAAAGATATTTCAAGTGATGAAAGACCACACAGGAATGTTAAGAAATTTCTGCTTCATTCTGGAGGCCAAGGGGACTCACCAAAGATTTCCAAGCAGGGTTGTGATGCGATACAATATGTGGCTTAGGAAAATCACTAGTATTGAGTTTTGGGACAGGGAGGTAAGACAGGCAGACGTGGCAGAACAATCCAGAGGTGATGCTCCAATGAGGCAAAGCATGCAGAGACAGGAGAGAGGACCTTCAGGCTCCTGACTTAGCTTTCAGCAGCATCTTTATTCCCAACTGAAATTAATCCATTCCTTAGTGAGAAACGTATTCTCAGGCTCTTAGAGAAAATTTCTGCCACTCTTTGATGAGAAATCCTGCTGAGTTTTAAAAAATATTTCATGTATTTATTTTTAACTGACAAGTAATAATTGTACATATTTATGGGGTGCAGAGTAATATTTTGATACACATATTCACTGTGTGATGATCAAATAAGGCTAATTAGCATATCCATCACCAGAAATATTGATCATTTCTTTGTGTTAGAAACATTTGAACTCCTTTCTTCTACCACTTGAAAATATACAATGAATTATCATTAATTATAGACACCTAGCATTACTATAGACCAGTAAAAACTTATATCTAGCTGTAATTATGTATCCATTAACCAACCTATCCCTATCCCCCCTGCCCTCTACATCTCCCGGCCTCTACTAACCTCAATTATACCNTCTTATGCATAGAATATTTTCTGGGGGAAGGTTTTGTCTTTCCTTGGCTTCTCAAAGGAAGCCCTGACACGAAAGAGATTAAGAATAAGTGGCCTATAGTGGTTGCAGCTTGGTGTGTAGAGATAACAACATAGATTATATGGTAATAGTCATAACAACAACAATAATAATAGCTACATATATAGGTCACTTTCTAAGCGACAGGACTTTTTCTAAGGGCTTTATGTATGTTAACTAATATATTCTCCAAACAAGCCTGTAAGTCAGGTAGAGAGATGGTATTCTTCTTACGAATGAGGAAACTGAGATGCAAAGAGGCTGTCATTTTCCAATGACAGAGGCAGAATCTTTACAGAACAACTCACCTTCCCAGAGGCCCCACTCTCCCCCACTATCCTCTGTTCCTATAACACATGTATACTGGGCACCTCTTCAATGTCAGACCCTGTGGTCTCTTGGAGGGTGGGTGCTCTCTATAGACTTCCTGGAGAGGATTTCCCCTGTAGAGAAACGGCCCAGATTCATCCACCTGTTTATTGCCTGCTCTGTGCTTTTCCATTTAAGACTCTGGTGCTGAGAAGGCAGGAGCTGACCCCAGAGGTCCTGAGCCTGGCTGTCCCCCACAGTGAACTGAGCTGGCCACTGGCACTGAGAAGGGAGAGGAAGAGGGAGAAGAAGGGTAAAGGAGGAGGAAAGAGACAGAGAGAAAGGCGGGAAGGGTGATGAGAGATGAAGGGGAGAGAAGATGAGTAAGAGGAGAGGAAACTCATGAGGCAGAGAGACGGTATAAGGGAAGGTGGAGAAAGAGATCATTAGAGAGAAATCTGCAGAGATAACGAAGATGTGAGAACTGTAAGGAGCAATAAAGTCATAGGAAAGAAAAAGGAGAGAGAGAAGACAAAAGGGAAGGAAAGTAGGTTAGGAGAGGGATGCAAAGAAAGGAGACAGACGTAGAGACAAAGAAAGGTAAAAGGAAGTGAGAAAAGGGTAAGAAGAAGAGAAATGGAGAGACCAAGGGAGGAAGGAAAGTAAAAGACCCAATGAGAGGATTTATAGCAGGAGATGGGGGGGGGGAGAAAATAAGACACAGGAATAAATAGAAATGGAAGGGAAACATGGGAGGCAGAAATAGAGGGATAAGGAGAGAGAAAGA